AACTTGTTCAAACCAAGGACTGGCGTCTCATTTTTCAATGTTTTATTTCTAGTACAGATCAGAGGTACATACTGATCACCCATTCTTCAATAATCTATCCGGCTTTCAGAATAACTTGGTTCAATGAGTGGAACTAACCAGTCGCAATAACCAACCGGCTAACGATATATTGAGGACAGAGTTACTCCATGTGGTATAATTGTGAAATATGTTGCACATTTTATACTACTCGTTATACTATGTTATACGTGTTAATTCGGAAAATACCCTGAAATGTTGGATCAATAACATGAAAACGTCCATATCGGTTTACTGATTATTCCTGGTAGTGAAGGTCAGTGAAAATTGAGAAGTGAAGTACAAAATTACGACAGCTACCAATTCCTGTTTAAGACCGTACATGCTCCTTGACAGCTTGAGCTACAAGGACGAGATGAAGTTTTGAAAGAAACTACAAGGTTCCTCACACCACAAGCCGAGGGTTCCGGGCGTCATCAACAGTGATAATTGATCCATCAGGAAAACCTTGACATCTCATTGGTTTTCAGTTTCGATCTCTCTAGTTTTGTCAGTATCTAATTCATCTTGGAACATTTAAACTAGTGCCAGTGTCTAGCTTGTCTCTTTACTTCAGCTGAAGTCATGTGTAAACTCTTGTTTACCAACCCAGCGCTTTCAGACAGAATAAATTGATCGGTCGCTATTGTATTGTCAGAAACATAATCAAATCATCTTAAGGAACAATTCATTCAGTTTAATGGACTGGCATCTATCAGAAAACAACTACTTCCCTGGCTAATACCATGAAGGGCGTTGGATTATATCCGGCAGCTGTCAGTGCAGAATTCTCCACTGAAGTAATTTCTGCGTATGCTGTTGGCGATATAACTTCCGCAATAGATTTTTAATTATTGAAACACACTTGCAGACCGGTTTCGGGCTGATTGGCCACTCATCAGTGCAAGATTGAAAATCTGTTGAAAATCTGTTTTTCCGTTAATCAGCTGTCGCCCCCATACGAACGACAACTCTCAGAAGTTGAGAAATTTGTGCGAGCTAAGGACTACCGAGGTATCACCTTTTAACGTGTTATTCCTAACTAGGTAGTGTCTTTCATCAACATAGAGTCGATAATGTTCGATAATTGAAAATCTAAATCTGTCAGAGTATCATTCCTCGAACAAAGCTGAAGCGGACAACAAATACAGGTTGCCTGTTAACGAGGTAACCAACCGCATATCCGAAATTTGCCCAATTCCTCGTATAAGGAAAGAAAGTAGGGAGTTGAGCCTGGCCTGAACGAATTGTTCCTTTAGATTTCAGATGATTTGATTTAAAGCCAGTCTTCAAATCAAGAAACCCAATCTCCAATGATTGGAAAATCTTTGATCAACAATTCCGCTAAAGAAATTGAAAAAAATTGAATGATCTTTGTAAAATGGCTCATCAAATATCATTGTAGATAGGGTACTCAAACGTTTGCTCCGAGAAATAACAACATGAAATTTTCAATAGTAATGTTTTTTCTTCTTCCTCAAAGATTATCATTTGGAACAATAGTGAGTTCAGTTTAAGAAATTGCGGGTCATTGAATACTTAGTTATGCATTCTTCAACTATTGTACTGTCATCTATAGACACGTGATAGGTATACTTATTGTTGAAAATTACTAAAAATAGTACTGATTCACTAAGATCATTTTCGCTTTCTTGAGGGTTGTTATCTCACTTCTGATCGACAAAAGACAATGCCACTATTATGTATCTTTCAGTGGCGTCACATATAATTTCGTTCTTGCATTAGTCATATCCTCTAGTATTATCGTGAATAGTTTTGATAGATAAACACATTGAAGTACTTAGTTGTCCGTAATTGCCACATTCACAACAGCAATGAAACCCAATGATAATGTCGGTTTCATTTTATTTTATCATCGCTTCACAGAAAATGTGAATGTGTTTCAATTCAGATCATCTCTGTTTCGAAGATCATAAAATCAGTTTGCAAATATGAGATTTTAGGTATGGTTTGGCAGCCAAACTGCTCTTGCAAACCCAATTTTCAATATTGATCGCCGAGTGAGCAGCGCTTTATGCTTGTGAGCCTGATAAATAAAGATTTTCACAAACATGCGAGGTTATATTGATTTTGTAGGCATATCTACTGATGAAAACGAGGCAGCAATGGTAGAATTTCAAGTTCACTGGTTTTTATACCTCCGAAACTTGAAGAGTTGGTGTTGATTTTTTTGTTTCATTCAATAGTTTCACCACTATTTAAAAAACCATTTATTATTTACCATTTGAAAAATACCCAGGCATTGACTAGAATTTAAATGTAGCTCTGTGGAAAATGTCAATATATCATAATGATTTTAATTTGGAATTATACTTTATGATGAGATTTTTACTGAACAGCTCACAAAACAGATGTGTTTCACTACACAATAGCATCTTCAGGCGTGGTCATCTGAGAAAAAACGTGTTGCGATTTCGTAAACTCTTCAGTAAAAATCTCAAAAAGTTTTAAGTACTTGAATACGTTATGAATTTTCACCAAGTAAGAGTTAGGCTGGAAAACTCGTAAGCTAACATAGAAAAACATGTTTTTATCAAATTTGATTCTATTATTCAATATAGTTTACTTTGAGGGCGATACAACGATTATTTATAGCTGTCATATTTTTTAAACCATTTTTATAGTACGATTTTTTTAAGTCTCAAAGTTGGCCTCAGTTTTAACGATTACCTGTTTATCGGCGCTAATTTCCTTTCCAGCATTCTCTTGAGATTCAAAAACAGGAAAAAGTCGCTGGGGGTTAGACTTGGGGAATAACGTGGATGTGGAAGCAATTTGAAGCCAAATTCGTGCAATTTTGCTATCGTTTCTTGAGAGGGTGTATTGTCTCGAGAAAACAGAACTTCCTTTTCCTTTAAATGGAGCCGTTTTTTCGCGACTTCGTCCTTCAAATGCTTCAATATAGCTCTATTATATCCGCTGTTGATAGTTATTCCCTTTTCAAGATATACGATGAATATTATTCCATGCGCATCCCAAAATACTAACGCCATAACTTTGCTAGCGGACTGTTGCCTCTATGCATGCATTTGAGTGGGTTCACTCAAATGACGATCGTTTTGATTCTGATGTTATACGATGGAGCCATGTTTCATCAATTGTCACATATCGATGCATAAATTCGTGTTTTTCCTTGTGGAAAGCTTCAAACACTGCTTAGAAGCATCAGTTCATTGTTGTTTTTAGTCGATTGTGAGCTCGCGCAACACTCACTTTGAACAGAACTTTCACATACTCAAAATATTCATGCACGATATGTCCAACACGTTTCCTTGATATCTTTAGAGCCTGAGCTATCTGGATCAAATTTACTATGCGGTCATCCAAAATTACTTTGTGGATTTTTTCGTAATTTTCGTCGGAAACAGCCTCTTTGGGGGGTCCACTTCATGCATCGTCCTCGATGCTCATTCCACCTTGATTGAACTCATCAAACCACTTCTCAACGGTTGGTTTTCCTACTGCAAAGTCCACATAATATTAATCGATTCAAGCCTTGGCTTCAACGGTATTTTTTTTTCAAAAGCCAATGTTTCATTAACACATGTAATAAGCGCTGGATTTAGACTTCGGCGGCCCATAGGCAGAGCATGTGGTGGAGGCCCTCAAATCGTTCGTGGTTAACTGTTGAAAGGGAGCAACTGAATAAATTGGCTAACATAAATTCATTCAAAATTAAACTGAAGCTAAATTATTTTTCGTTTGATTTTCACATTAATAAACGTATCGATAATATCGTCGAAGTCTGTTTCCCTCAAAACATCACTCTCTAAACTTGAAGAGCCAAAATATTTGATCTGTCCTCGGTCATGGAACTTCGGAATTTATGTTTTATAACTTCCAGTTCCAAAAAAGGATCTTTCAGCCATACACTTTGTCACCATTAGTTAGAGATAAATTCTCAGAATTATCTCAACTTTGGGAAAGCTTCTTCAACATTGTTTTTACACAATTCATACATCCATCTCTCATAGCTAATCTCTTCTCATCTCTTTTGTTCAAATTCAAAATAGTTTGAAATGTATGAATTCGTTACCAAGAGTATCATCTACGTCGTCGTATAGTAGGTTTCCTTTCACCATGTTTTGATTGGCAGACATAATTTCTTGATCAGAAATAGTTGTTGAATTTTTCAAAAACCCAAATCGTTTATTTAGAAGTGAGTACGCGTTGAATATGCTTGTAGGGCATTATATCTGCCACTCATTGCAGAAGCATTGTCGTACGATTGTGCACGAATGTTCTCCAGATCCAGCTCGTTTTGTTCTAGTAAGTTAATCGAGCCCTCATACATATCCTTTGCCTTATGACCCTGGTTAGGCATAAACATAAGAAAACGCTCAACAGGAGCATGCATTCGCGCTTGGGCGGGTGGAGCGGAACAGGGCTGGCGCGGCGCAAGACTTTTTCAATAGATAGAGTAGGTGAGACGTCTTTGTCCGCGGCGCCGTAAAATATGCGAAAGGCACCATTTGTGTCCATATTTCGTGCTGCTTGATCTCGTACTTTTTCATTGTTAACTTTTCCCTCAGTATTTTTTTGTCTCTACTGAGCTTTTATCGATTTAATTTTATTTTTTTTTGTGGTGTGGTGGTGGCCCCCTTGTGGTGGCTGCCCATAGGCAACTGCCTATGTTGTCTATGCTTAAATCCGGCACTGCACGTACTTCCTTTTTAATAATTTTATTCAACCTAACAAATGTTGCTTCATTCAAAATGTTATATTTCTCTAACCAATAGTCCTACAGCTGTAAAATTTGTACACATCAGTTCTGAAGGTTCGGGTTAACTGAAAATCTAGTAGCGCCAGCTGTATATTAGCCTACGTAATTTTTAGCCCACCTAATATCTCCCAATTTCATCATATGATTTTATATATATTTTGCGATTTTCCAATAATTTATTGTTCCTTTCATTTTCCAGTACATCATCCAGACCAGACTTCCAACGTCAGAAACAGGTCGACTGCTCAAACCGTTCCTGATAGCCGTGTGCCTCACATGGTCTTTGATTTGTTCTTTGACACGAATATCTGACAGGAGGCACCATTGGTGGGATGTCTTAGCTGGGACGATGCTTGGTGTGGTGGGTGCCGTATACACCATCACTTTGGTACACAGAAAAATGAATACTTCCCACATAATCACAAAAGACTGTTCATCCACTACAACTTTGCTGGACGTCAAGAACAAAGAAGCGACCAGTGTGATTATATAGTTTTCTCACATCAACTTCCAGTTGGAACTTTCCTGCCACTTCTCATATTTTTCGCACCATTTTTAATCATATTCACTACTACAAAATGAGGTGATACTGTATGGCAGTAGGGGGGGATTCTGCCCCCGAATGCGATCAATGTGACTTCGAAAAACGAACTGAAGACAGGTTTTTCAATGACTGGTTCATTTTTGAATGGGAAATGATAAATGTAACTGAAGATGAATGGATCTGTGTCAGGATTTTTTTGACACTCGACAATTTTTTTCAACCATGTTGAACTTATATTATTTATTTATGTATCAATAATGTGAGGGACGGTGTTGTGGTATTATTCTTGTACATAGTGTTGCGATAGAAAGTAGATCAATAGTTATGAAAAATGTTTTGAAAATATAAATCCATTTCTGAAGACGGAGGCAGATTTTGGCCTCCGAAACGTAAAAGATAAGATATTTCTTTGTGAAAAATACTTTGATTTTTACGCAGTTACTCATCGGGGTAAACTGAAAAGTTTGCCCTTCTATACTTGTATAAAGTTCTCCATTATAACTTTTATATTTTTCAGATTGTGGAAGGTATCAAATACCCAAAAAAGGTTGATAATTTTTTTTTATGTTACACAAGTTATTTCCTAGTTACAGTAAAAAAGTGTAAGGGCGTATTCAGGAGCTTACTTCATGAAAATAATGCATGTAAACATACGTGAGGAATCACATCATTTGCAAGATATAGGGTTATACATTTTAATGGAAAATACTTTTTTCAAATAATATTGTGAATATAGTTTGCAGCAACAATAAAATTAAACAGGAAAACGTCTCAAACAATTACCTAGTTGTTGTTTTTTAGTGCACAGGATACAATAGAATAGACTAGAATAGTATAAAATAGAATGTATTAGAGTATAGTGGAATATAGTAGAATGGAATAGAGTTAAATAGAATAGAAAGTTATGTGAGCCAAAAAAATATATCAACTAGGTATAATATTCAAAAAAAATGTAGGTCATTTGTATACCTGAATATTTGAATAGAACTGGCGGATACTTGATGAAAATCCATATCGAAACACTAATAAATACAGTTTATTGTATAATTTTCACTTCACTATAAAGGGTTTTACAAAAACCTCGACACGTGTTTCGCTATACAATAGCTTCATCAAGCATAAACTGAAAGTAATTTCTAAATTACAATACCTGTATACGTGCAATCAGACACCAATAATAAGCAAAAGTGGAGATATGAAGGTGTAGGGAAACGAACTTTTGGGTGGTCAAAAATTCATTTATACTGTAGAAACAGTTTTTGTAAAGCAATAGCTTCCACTGCATTTTGAATTCTGGAGGACGTGATTAAGGATTTGTTGTATTATACATGAAAACTAGACTTTCAATAGGGACATACATCATATTTAGTTATGCAGAGGTTTGAATTTTCACCAGTGAAGTAATTATGAAATTCTGCACTAGTTTTCAGTTTGTATTTGCCCACAAAAGGTTTCTGTAGTCTGAGAATTGTTTTTTTAATTCATTTTTACAAAACAAACATTCTATTCACGTTCACACTCTGTTCCTAGACAGTTGTAGACAACAGTTGTAGACAAGTTGATTTTCTAATGTTAAGGTTGTTCTAAAAAAACTGCAAAAATAGTTTTAAATCAACACGTGGAAAGAACAATGTGGCTCCATCTTCCTGTGGAAGAATGGAGCCACATTTGAATGAACATAAACAAAACTGTTAGTGTTTGACGTAAGCTTCGTAAACAGGCTACAAGATGGAGGAAGAAAGATGTTTTGTCATATTACTGAGTCTAAATTCCAAATGGAAAGAAAATACGGGTTTAAAAAAATTCACTATACTGGGTAAAGAAATGTTATTGCTGCATTCTTAATATTCTTCATGAATTACATAAATAAAACTCAGTCAAAGTTGATTATAGAACTAACGGATGGCACCAGTAGGAAATAATGAAATATTTTTCAAGAATAGGAGTTATTCTGAATGATTTTATTTGTTAATATTTGAAAATCAAAAATATATTTTTTGAAATATACTAGGTAAAATTTGTTCTATTCATTTTAGTTTTGTTGTTCAAAAGAGTTGTTAACTAACTTTCAATTATGAAGGCAGAATACCCCAATGATCTTCTCTATTAGGCAAGTTAGTTATCCTCAAATTACTTGATATTGGGGATAGGATTGATCGGCTGAACCCATCAACTCATTGTTTCTGAGTAGTTTTCATGATAATACCTTGAAAAATCAAATGCTAAAGATGTCCCCCAGATATCAGAGTTGCCACTCGAAGAAAAATTCCATGAAACAAACGAGGTGAGATTAACAAACTTGGTGATATGCTATTTTGGGTTTCCATAACTTGTCTTCGAACGGATGCATTTCCAATATCTTTTCATCAATCAATTTTAAATTCGAAACACTATAATAATATAGTATCTCGAGTTCAATATACGTATATTATTGACTTGAATTGTGCTCTCTCACTAAATAAAAAGTTGCGTCAACTATAGAAGAATGATATCTAAACTGATGAATCCCAAGTTAAATATTAAACGCAAACACTGATACCAGTTATGATGTAAATACTATTCAATTTAAATGTTTTTCATTTTTTCACATGGTAGTCGTAGATGCAAAATGGCAAACTTTTTCAAAAAAATTATAAATGCAGTGAGGGACTGTGCAGAAAACTCAGAAGTGTATCCACCGCCAAGAAAAATTTTTGTTTGGAGAGTTTTTGACGTGAACATTTCACTGGCCAATGTTTTAAATTTTTTCATAAGTGCTATTGGTGAGTCATATGTTTTTATCCCAAATGGAATACTCGCGAAAATTTTACACAGCGGAGTATTGTGGATGTCAGATTGAAATAATTTGATGAGAAATAATGTGTTATAATATTTATTTCATATGAGTCGCTACAACAATGTGAGATGACAAAGAATGTGTTGGTGTAATGAGTGGAACACATAAATTTCAATGTACATCAGTAGACAGATTACAATCAACAAAAGAAAACTGAGTTTCACTTTCATTTTGAAGCAAGCTGCAAAAATCACTACAAAACGGGTTTCAGCACGAAACAATTACAGAAATAAGACATGATGGCTGTCATTAAGCGCATCTTATATTTAAACTCAAATAAAACAAAGTGTGTGTAGGAAAATATAGAAGTTCTTTATTCATTTGAAAGACCAATTGTGAAGCTACTTGGTGTTACTTTAGACCCTAAACTGAATTAGAATGCTCATATAGATCAATTACAACATAAACTGTCGAGCATATTATTTCATCTGCGACAGCTCAGACATATTTCAAACTACGAAACTTTGGGAACAGTTTATTTCTCACTGTTTCAGTCTCATATGGGTTACGCCATTTCACTGTGAGAAAAATCCTCGGCTGCTAATGTTATTTTCATTCAACAAAAAAAGGCAATAAGAACATTAGGTAATCTAGGGTATAGAAATACGTGTAGACCTTTATTCATCAAACTCAGAATCATGACTCTTTCGTCCCTTGTACATTTACAATTCACTTCTTGAAATACACAGAACATCGTCCAACCTCACTACACATGCTGACATTCACCATCATAACACTAGAAATTCTGACAATATCAGACTTCCTAGATATGAGCTTTGTATTTCACAAAAAAATTCTTGAGATTTTAGTCTCTACAATGCACTGCCTCATTAAATCAAAACGATGAGTGTGAATGAGTTTTAACGAACCATCAAATCGTATTTGCTAAAAAACAGTTTCTACTCAATCAATGAGTACTTGGTAGATATTGAAGGTGTGACCTTTAGACTCTGAGAACATGCTTACCGTGTACGTACTGTTTGTTCAACTGTTTCTTACATTTTTCTTATATTTTTGTATGTTTATGTGCTGTGTTATTTTGTAATTACTTTTGAAAGTGTATTAGTGTATTACTAAATAGTTTACTTGATATATTTTGTACCAAATGACTTGCTATGAATATGCCAATGTATATGATATAGTCAAATAAACTGTCTATCTATCTATCTATTAATGGCATCATATGTGGAATATAATGTCTCTCAAGTGTCTGTCATGGTTCTCTGGGTGGAGGGTCTGACCAACGTTGTTTCCTAAGAAATATGGACCGATGATGCCGCCAGCCCCAAATGTGGACGCTCTTGGATCTCATGAGGATTGGTATCGTCCAGAGTTGCATACCTAAATGATAATTTTTACGATTCTCTATTGGAAATTATTTCAAAAAATGTGTTTAATAATAATTTGTACCAATGTTATTACTATTAGAAAAATATACTCCAAAACACAGCAAACATATTTTTCACAGTAATCACAGAAAAAATGTTTCTCTAGAAACAACAGGAATTTCTTCAAAAGACTGAACGAAATAAATGACAACAGTTTTTATTTTCTATATTGGAAAATGAGTTTTTCAGTTTGGAAACCTAATTTGTATCATAGAGCATAATACATAGGGTGTAACAAAAAGGTCGGTCATAAATTGAATCACATATTCTGGGGTCAAAAATAACTCGATTGGATATAACTTACCTCAATGAATAAGTGCACACAAAAAAGTTACATGAAAATGGCTCCTTGGCTTCCTTATCGTTACAGCATCTTTTTCATATACAACCACGAAATCTGTTCAGCCCATTAAAATTTAAGGGAGCTATTGAACCTCTAAATTTTTTTTGCGTGAGGGTTTTCTTCGGCCCATATGTGTGCGTTATGGTAATTCTATTGAAGGGAGCTTCATCGTTAAATAAAATGAATGAAATTGATATGGCGATAGTTTTCCGTTAGGAACCAGTCGCCAAATCCTATTTATTGAAGATGATCTTCATCCGGTATTTTCTGAAGGGTTGTTAGTGATAAGGATGAAGCTGATGTTCCTTCAATCTTCTTCAAAACATCATGTTAGCAACATCTAATTGATCAGCTATTACCCTTGTACTTTTTGCAGGGTTTTCTTCGACAATTTTCGAAATCTACTTATCGTTTTATCCATTTTTAGTCGACCACTATTACCAGCAACTTGCGGTCGCAAAGAAATAATCGTCTGTTTGGTGTATTCTGATTGGGATATTTATCGGCATAACGCCTCGCAGCTGCTGCTCTGTTACTCTGGCATTCACCTGTGATTACCAGAATCACCGATAAGAATAGCCAACAAATAAGAAAAAAAATACGACTAATATTACAATGGCTAAACATGAGAGTTTAACCCTGCGTCCGACACGTGGGGTGTGACATACCCCAGCCGTATAAAATTCCATATGACTTTTTGAAATTGGCGTCCCAATGTCGTATATATTCAGTAGCTTCCGAAAACAGCCTCCACTCTCACATCAACATCTCAAATCAATCGTCGTTTGACGTATGTTTGATTCTGACCTGTTATAAATCGACTGGGGTGCACGTGCCTCTATACGTTGCAAAATCGTGCGCGATCAAAGAAAACTAAATCGAATAGTTTTTCAGATTATTTGATAGAAATAGGTGATTATGAGCAATAAATAGCCCGTCTTTAGTCCTAATAGGATGAAACAGGAAGTGATGACGAAATTGACGAATCTGGTGGCGATGAAACGAGCGATAATGTTAGCATCGTTAGTAACTATCTAGAGGCGAAAGAAACTGTGGAACCTACATCCAAAAAACTTAAACAAAATGTTCAAGGAAGGTGTCAAGATTGTCCTCGTGCCTGTGATTGAAATACAAAATACATTTGTAACAAATGCAATAAATTCATATGTCTGGACCATGCAGAAATGTACTGCAAATCTTACGGCAATGGCAAATGTTGATGACCTGTAACTTTTTTTCAATGATTTTCGATAATTTTTTTTTTTAATTTTCTATTTTATGATGTTTTATTATCTGTTTGAACTAGCAATTTGATATTTATTTAGTCGTTTTATGTGCAAAAGTCTTCTTCCAGTAAATCTGTATTTTTTCCATTGAAAGATCCCATTGTTTTGGTAAAGACGAAATATAATGATTTTTTGCTCGTTTTGGTAAATCAAAAATTATTTTATTGCAAAAAGAGATATTACAGTATAGAATTCTCATAACAACTATGTTGCAATTCAAAAAAATGTTAATTTTAACAGAAAAATCATATTGGGGTCTCACACACCCCACGTGTCTATGAATGTTACAAAAGTCTACATGTCGGACGCAGGGTTAAAGTATCCTAACAGTATTTTGAGTTATAGTTATTTTCATTTCATGCAAAAATGTTAACATATTATAAGGAAATATAAGATCAAAACAAGAAAAAAACAATATATTTTGACCTAACAGACTTTATTTACAATACACTCGAAAAAACATTCAAATGAAGTCTTTTGTGTATAACCTTTTTGCAAATGTTGACATTCGTTTACATGTTTCATCGTTTTCCCTTATAAGGAACCAACAATAATTCCCCGTCATTACTGCATCCCATCTGCCTTGGTAACAACGTTGCTTCATTGTATGTCTTGGTGGAACTTTTCCCCTTGTGCGTCACTGACGGCATCAACATTTTCTGGGAAAAAATGCAAATGGGAGTGCAAGAAATGGATTTAAAGGGAAAGGCGACATCTCATTCTGCAGTAATTTTCCAGTAGTTCTTCGACAAGTGTTTCGTAATTTTCTACTTTCTTGTTCTCTAAAAACTCCAAAACAATTGTTTTGAAAGAACTCTACGCAGCTAATTCAACATTAACCTAATTTTTGATCAAATTGTTGATCACTTAATATACTTTCCTTGAGCTTTGCATCACTAAATTTTGGAAAAACGTGTTCAAGATATTTAAACGTATCACCTTCTTTTTCCAATGCTTTTACATGTTTACATGTTTGATGAAGGTAACAGAACGTTTTTGGGATTAACAAGAGGTATATTCTCCACGTTAGCTTGACCTGGAATATATTTATCTCTCGGATGCCATTTTTTACCTGATAATAGCTCAGTGTTGTTCTACTTTTCCAAAGGCAAAGAAAACAGAAACATTTCGTAAATGCGCCCTGAAGACCTAGTAATAGTCCTATGACTTTTAGATCACCACATATTTGCCACTTATACATATTATAACTTATTGCATTTAGAATAAGTGTCATACTTACGTGTGTTTACTTCACGGCAACTGCATGTGCAAGAGGAATAGAAGGTCGTTTGTTATGGAGCAGAACAGCTTTCAAACTCATTTTAGACGCTGTGTTTTAAACAATTTCCTTAATTTAGGGGAAAAGCAAATTTGGAATGTCGAATGTCAAAAATCTCAAGTGTTTGGAAATTTTTACTATCATTTTTGCATCTAGGGACCAAACATTAACAAAGAACTGCCTTCGGCATTACAGTCGTACATTGGCTGTAAACTAGTGTAATCATCTAGAATCTTGTTTTAGCTTGACCAAACTTACCCAGAATCTAAAGCATATCTCTCATTTTCGCGAATGTGTAGACCATTGTAACAAAAAGTTTAATTTTTCTCTACACTCTTGAAATGCGCACTAACAGAAAGATTCAATTGACAGTATGCAACTGTTTGTTATTTATAGAAATAACATTTTTAATAGAAACTACAAGTTTTGTATGAATTTTTGGAAAATTTTGATATCCTGTTGATATCTTGAACCAATGGTGTCATAATAATAATTCAATTTCAACGCATATGAAAGTTTAAGTGGTTTTATGGAGTGAACAGATTTCGTGGTTTTATATGAAAAAGATGCCATGAATCATTTTCATTACAAAATGTTAAATAGTTCATGAAATATTGGAAAAAATAGATTTTCATTTTGTACTTTTCGAAGGTTGTAACTTTTTTTGACCTACCGTTTTGTTACTACTTGTATAAGCAGTTATTGTTATTGAGAATACCATGACATATAATTTTGAAGTTATCACTTGAATATTCTGAATTCTTCATTTAGTAAATGTTGAAAATATATATAATGGATATTTGAATTGTAATATTGGATTGAATTGTGAAAAATATGAATTGTTACTTGATATATTCGATTCATTCAATTTGGTTCAACTAATAAATAATACTCCAACTTGAATAACTAATAAGTCAAACGCTCATAGATTTGATAATTATCAATAACGCACAGTACTTTTCATCAATAAATGTTCTCGATATTGATGGTGTCTCGGATCACTTTGCTTTTCCATGTCAAATTAATTTACCTGAAGATAAATTCGTCAAATACATTACGTACCGCAATTTCAGTAACTTTCAAGGGAACTCTTTCAGTCTAGAGATATGCAATGTCAACTGGAATACCATCCATCAATTTGATAATGCAGATGAAACGCTAACTTATTTCAATAATCAGGTTATAAATATATACGATGCTCATGCGCCTTACCGTACGATGAAGGCAACCAAGTCACCATCACATTGGATAACATATAACATAAAACAGATGCTTTTCTCAAAAATAAAGCGTTCCGACGATATAACAAGCTAAAAAAAGCTAAAAACAATTGGGTCATGGAATTACTAAAAGGACTAACAGAACTATTTTGATAGTGCCATCCGTAGAGAGAAAGCTACATACATGAATTATGTTTTGAAACAAAAAAAAAAAAACAAAAATACCTAGAACACCCTGAGTTTTTCGTTATAAAAGTACACTTGAAATTCCTCCACAATAAAAAAACTTGGATTTACCAAATGAACATTTCACTAATACAACAATACTGAGTAAAACCCAAAGACAAACAGCCCTGTTTGATAAATACACGATACCTTTACATGATCCTGATTTCAAATTTAGTACTGTATGTTCGGAAACCATGTTGAAATGCCTCAATACAATCAAAAGCAATACTATAGGTTCTGGTGGAATCCCTATTCGCATACTAAACTTGATAGTACCTCATTTATTGGAGCATATTACCCTCTCTGTGGAAACACGCTGATGTCAGACCTAAATGTAATAATCCTGCAGAACTGTCTGATATAAGACCAATCAGTATTCTTCCAACTTTCTCGAAAGCGTTCGAAATGATAAGTAAAGAACAGGATACGAGTTATATTAGTATGACTAATCTTATGACTGAAGTTCAATCTGGATTCCGTCCTCAATACAGTACAACTACATCATTGAGTCTGAGTACAGATGATATTTTCAAAGCAATTGATGAGGGAAATTTGACCTGTCTCATTCTATCAAATTATAGGACAGCTTTCGATACTTTGGACCCGTCTGTTTCATGTAAGAAACTAAAATATTTTGGCGTCTTTGGCGGTACAGTTTCACCCCTGGAGAGTTACTTAACTGGACGAATTCAAATTGTTGATTTGAATGGTGAACAATCTTCTTCTTCAAGAAGACATTATGGCGTTCCACAAGGCTCTGTCTTGGGACCTCTACTCTTTGCTCTCTATATATCAAATTTCCACGAAAGCGTCAGATCAATCAAAATACAACATTACGCGGATGACACTCAATTTACATGTCGTTCAGTTTCAGTGAAGTAATCATTGCCTAGGATATCATAAAACCCCAAGTGATGCTGATTGGTTCCAAAGGAAAGAGAAACTTCATCGCCAACTCACTATAAGAACTAATGACAGTCCTATACAATTCGTAAATGAGAGCATAAATTTGGATCTTTGTATCGATACTAGCCTGAGATTCCTTAAGCATGTTAATCTGCTGTGTAAGACCTCATATAACGTATTACGGCAGCTATCTTTACCCCAGTAGGCAATTGATGTCAAAAAAACTCATATTGAATCTATGCGAGTCTTCAATATTCTCCCGATTAGCGTATTGCGACAAAATAGTTGTATTCGATTCGCATGTGGTATACTGAAGTAAGATCATATTAGTAATTCATCCAATTACTCAGGTTGGTTGAAAATGAATCAAATGAGAGAAACACACCTCCTTACTGTAACCCATAAAATTTTTGCAATCAGGAACACCATTATATTTGCGAACTATTACCAGCAACTTGCGGTCGCAAAGAAATAATCGTCTGTTTGGTGTATTCTGATTGGGATATTTATCGGCATAACGCCTCGCAGCTGCTGCACTGTTACTTTGGCATTCACCTGTGATTACCAGAATCACCGATAAGACTAGCCAACAAATAAGAAAAAAAATACGACTAATATTATAATGGCTAAACATGAGAGTTTAACCCTGCGTCCGATACGTGGGGTGTGACATACACACCTCCTTACTGTAACCCATAAAATTTTTGCAATCAGGAACACCATTAAATTTGCGGAAAAAATTGTTTTTTTTGTCGCGGAAGAATGATTCGCGTAATTATTATCTACTGCTTATTCTGAAACATAAAACCTTATTATACACATGTAGTTTTTCAAAAATTACAGCAAAACTTTACAATAGGTTACCCCATGAACTCAAAGACCTCAGTTTGAGAAATTTCAAAAAACGTTTGAAAGTCGTCCTTCGAACAAGGTAATGATGTCTTTATTATCTGATGACTCTTGCAATAATTTTTGGCACACGTACGAACAGGTTTTAATTCTAACGATATGAAATTATTTAATTATACAGCCACTTCACTTATTAATTTTATTATCATTTTTTTCTTTCCACCTACTCCTTGTCTCTATTATACTTTAACTGTGCTGATATATTAGTATTAAAGGTTTTTGTGATCTTATAGATTGGGTGTGTACGTACAAGGTTAGGTTTCAGAGCAGCTTCAATAGCTGAACCCCGCCCATTCATCATTCTTGTTGAACATGCATTTGTAAACCATTGAATATGATGAATAAAGACATCCTATCATCATTATTATGATTCATGAAAATTCATTTCTCTAAAAAAAATCTCATGACATTGCTCTTTTCAGTTATAATACTCACATGTCTGACGGAATATGGGATTATCCCAAGTAAAAAAGTGGGTTTCTACTGCAAGGATCCTCTGATATCCCACAAATATACAGGAGACACCGTGACTCCAGAAATACTGGGTGTAACAGCCATTCTTGTACCTGTGACGATGATTCTAACCACGGAAATGTTGATCCATCAGTCATTCAAGAGAATCAACGTCTTTACGGCCTACCTGCTCTTCAGAGACTGTTTGGTTGGAACCATCACAGTTCTGTTCCTCACCTCTATGGCAAAAGTACTCCTAGGAGAACACAGACCGCATTTTTTCGATGTTTGTGAGCCAGATACAGCAATGAACTGCACTGAGGGAACTTTTGTGGAAAGTTTCACGTGTACAAGTACCAAGTATGATTTTTATGTAATCGCAGATTCTTCCTTATCATTTCCTTCAGGACATGCCTCAACGACTTGGTTCATAGGAATGTTCTCGTCGGTAAGTTGCAAGAAACGTTCAACAATATGGAGTTAATTTACTAAGTCCAATGAAATTATTATGCGACTAAGGGATTTTACATTTCTATAAAAACATCATGCATTCGAGAGGGACATAACAAATGGAAGTTATTTGTTAGTTCTCATCACTCAACATGGCTCTCCCATTTTGCTACTCATTCGGCTTTCGCTGAAAACACAATATATTCCAAAATTCCAGATTTGCCTGGTCTCTCAGTTCTATGAACTTTTAGTATTAGTTGGTCCACTTCTGCCTCCCCTATTATTTGATAGTTTACAATAGGATAGTTATTGGGTTGTAGAAATAACCCAACTATTGGTATTTTTCGACTGGGAGTATGAAAGTATCTATTTCTTTCTTTTTTCACCCCGATAAGAAGACGTTCTTATGGTCGAAGGATGGATCCATAGTCTTTCTTTTGTTATAATGGATCCGGTTTTTCGAATATATCATTGTATCAGTCCTGAACTTAGCAAGTTTTCATTGTAATTAAGAAGACGTAGTCGTCCAGAATATGATTCCATGAGAATGAAGAAAAAACCTTTCACTTGAGACACAATCGTACTGCACACTCCGTTCAAAAAAGTAACCTCTTCACCTGCTGATGATGTTATCAAATACGCTAACGATATCAAAAAACAGTTTTCATTTTCGACCGTAGCCAAGCCTTGGTTCTTTCGAAACTATAAGTTTTGCTTCCTCCTCAAATCCCTCTTGGAATCAGTCAGGATTTTGAATATAACGTTATAACTTTTCGTTCCTATCACTGATGTTTCAGTGATGTCTCCTACGTGCTAGATCTTACTTCTAACTAAGGATATTCTTGATTGCTCCATGAATTATTATGGAACAATATTTATTTCACGAAGATATGATGATTTTTTGAGCAAGCTTCAAGGTCTGCCTTATAAGCTCCCCAGTTTGTGTTCTATGTATCTTAATGAGATAAAATTGAAGTGTTTGAAGTTCATTTGGAAATAATGCGTCACAAGTGTATGTAGTCACTCATATGTGAGCATGTAATTGCTTTCTCCTACATCTCCTGTTTATTAAAAATTACTGCTGTGAAGTTTCTGATACAAAATTACTGAACGGTAATAAATGTAATCTTTTCTGTATAAATTACATATGTTTTAAAGGTTTCTACAATTCTATTTTGAATTAACTTCGTTCTGATCTCTGCCAATGCCGTCTCACGGTTCTATTGTGTTCTATCTCCATTATCAAACTTTCCTATATTGTCAGTAAGGACCAACGAGATTCTCTTATCGTGTTGTGGCTTGACTTGAACCTCATTGCGAGACAGAGTTCTCAAGAGGAACGCGGATGGGTTGTTCCACATTCATGATGCCCTCTGCATGGGGGCCTGGTGAGGCTACATATATACTCTGAAAAGTTGAATCCTCGCTTGATGGGAGAAGTGGTGATGTCAAATATACCGGAAAAGAGTGTTCTCTTCCAAAATGTTTTACGGATTCTTATGCTTTTGTATCTGTAGAGTAGAGAGGGTGAATGTAGACTCACAGCACTTAGGCCACATGTGACCAATTGTACATTCTCCCAAGGAGTTATCCTCCCAAGGAGTTGTCCTCCTAGGTCATCGTCCATCCTGTCCTTTCCAGTAAGGTGAACAGGTCACTAGGAGACATCTCCTCCAGTCCCCTGGCTGTTTCCCTTTCCGTCACCTGGGGACGCGCCTGATAGGTAGCCCAACCCAAGGGGGATTCTTATGCTTATGAGTCCTTCAAAACGGCTTCATTCCGTTTTCATTCGGCTGCGCTATATGTATCGCTTTGAGAATAGATGATTGACTTCTCACATGTACCCTACTTTCGATTTCAATACATCAACTGATCTGAAATTTATTTTATTTTCAGTACATTGTCCATGAAAGGCTACCGACTATCAATGCTGGTACTTTGATGAAACCATTTTTGATATTAGTTTGTCTGACATGGTCGCTAGTCTGCTCGTTGACAAGGATAACAGACAGAAGACATCACTGGTGGGACGTCTTAGCTGGAACCACAATTGGAATATTGGCCTCACTGTATAGTATCACAGTAGTTCATCAAAAACTTTCAAAGATGGATTTGAGTTTCGTAGCAAAACACAAAGAGAATCCAATAGAAATGGAGTTCACGATTGAATGAAGTGGGCTATTCGAAAGATAGATCTGAACGAATTTCAGTTTTTTGAAGATTTCACGAGTATGAAGTTTACGATTAGAGAACTAAAATTCCAAATGAAATATTTCAGGTTGATGAATACAATAAAATACAGTAAAATATAATACCAAAATTTTGTGATTTCAGAAAAAACAAATCATGAAAGCATTTACATAATAATAATTTATTCGCTCATAATATTCAGATGTACAACAGAGTGAGTAACAATAATAGCAAATAAAATAGAAAACCCATAAAAGGTGAAACCTTCTGCATGGGTATGCTACTAAAACATGAGTCTGATCTATAAAATGTAATAATAAAGTTGAAATAATAATATTAAATTTAATGAAAGTGCAGATAAACAGGGTGTAAAACATTCAAGGAGGTGATTCTTCATCGAAAAAAAGATAGGACCTTTCATATAAAGAAACTTCATTAGAGCATCCCTTGTTAAGATAGAGCCCCCTAAAGGGGGTACATAAAATTTGTATAACAATTTTTTTCCGAAGCACTCAGAAAGTTACAATATTGAAATTCTCCTGATGTCTTGTACTACCAAAAAGACACTTAGCCAGTAATTTATTTGATTTACCCGATGGTTGTAAGGGGTGGAAAACTTAACTTTTTGTCTTATCATTTGTTTACCATTTGAAAATTTATTTCCAATACCCTGTTTCATTCTAAACAACAAATGTCTTCTGGGTTTTTTGCCCAAAATGAACCAGTTCGCAGCAAAAAATTATTTTACGAACAACTACAGAGATACAAGGGAGCCATTTTCATTTCACTTCTAGGTTTTTAATATAATTATTAGTTATCCAACGCCAAGCAAGTATGCCATAGTTTATATGTGTTTGGGCCAGGCTTGCATAAAGTATGTTCATTTGTGTCGAGTCGAATAATTTTTGATACAGTTTGAATTTTGTTATTAATTGTCTCAATTTTTCGTTACGTATTCATTGTGTCTGTTCCATCTGATATTTCGGTCTATAATGGGGCCTAGATATTTTATATGTTCTCTCCTTTGAATGTCAATGATATTGTCGTTTGTATTAACTGTAATTTTACTATATGTGGGTAAGTTGTTGTTATAAATTGAAAACGCAGTAACGTGGGTCTTAGATAAGTTCACTGTCAGTAGCCTACTGTCAAACCAATGAAATAAAGTTTCCAATTCCCTTTCGGCGATAAATTTTAGAATGTTCCAATTCTTGCCACGAAATAGAAGGGCGGTATAGTTGGCAAAGCTGATAATATTCGCTTCCACATCAATATTGTGGAGGTCATTGATATAAATATTGAATAGAATAGGTCCAAGCACCGTTTCTTGGGGCACTCCACACTCAAAGACTTCATCTGAACTGAATGGACTATTAATTTTTACTCTCTGTTTTCTGTTCGATAAGTAACCAGTGAGAAGTTTCAATGGTTCACCTCTGAAACCTATATTTTCTAATACTCTTAGTATAGACACAGTGACTCACTGTGTCGAATGCTTTTGCCAAGTCAACGAAGACACATAATGAAGTTTTTCCTATGTCCATCTCCTCATAATTTTTTTTCAAATGAACCATTGCATCTTGTGTTGACTTAATGGATGCGAAATGAAGGCAGGAGTTGATTATAGTTGAACAACTAACGTGAACATGTCAGAAAAACTCCAGAATATTTGGGAGTGCCACATAGTGGGCGACATCTAGGTATTACAATTCGAACATCATATTCGAAGAAAACATTATTTATTGCCAAGGGCAATGATAGTTACAATGGTTCAAATAATAGGTGTAACCATCTATTTGTGAGTATGCCTATGTATCTCCATGTTTATGCCATCCAAGCACCAAATTTGATCCGCACTATCATGTACCATCTCAGCACTGTATCGCGAATATTATTGCAATGCCCCTCTAAGGAAGACGTGCCATCTCAACGCCAGGCTGTGAATTGGGCCACACTATTTAAAATGAGCTGCAGGTATAGTTGTTCCATGGTAGTTCCTCATTCGGTTGAGTCAAATGTCAAAAGTCAAAAGTCAAATTTAGAGTCTTCCAACAGGAATTTCTGAACTTTAATAATTGGGAACGGTTATCTTGTTAAAGCTACATCTGTCAAATTAGTTGTCGTTTATTCAGTCTGTTTTGCCAAATCACCATGGAACACTTAGAAATAATGAAATTGTTCTATCAAATGTAAGTTCAGGCAACGTACCGTGCGCTTCGCCTATTTTACGGTTGCTATGAAGCATCGTCACTCTGGAACCCACTTTGAAAAAATTCTACCTTTTTTTTAGCCTACTTTACCTACAAACGATACTTATGAACGTAGTAATGTTCATTTTTTTGTAGTTTTATAACTGTGTGTTTGAGGGCATTCGGAAATATTCCTTTATAAATGGATACGTTTATGATGAATGTTATCGGTTTTACTATTCGCCTACGAATTTGATAATTTTAACTATTCCGGGGGCTTTTTTTGTTTTAAGTTTTAGGATCTCCTCCCTTACTTCGCTCACGGTGCAATCTTCCAGATAAATTGAGTTCAGTAATTTTTTCTCTCTGAAATTATTTTGTCTTCCTGAATTTTTGGCATTTGTCAACTCTTTGCCTATTTTAGTAGAATAATGGACAAACTATTCCGTAATTTCTTGGTCATTTGTAGTAATATTGACATCCATCGTTTTAAATTGTTTGATTTTGTTTTCTATTTTTTTGGTTTCGATAGTTTTCTAAGAGTTCCATAGTTTTTCTGAATCGTTTTTATGTTTATCTATTTCTTTCTTATAAAATAATAGTTTAGCTCTATCCATCATTTCATTGAGTTTATTTCGATATCTTTTGTATTCAATTTTTGAGTTTTCATTGTCGGGTTTATTACGCACCTTCTTATGTAGTTTGTTTTTGGTGTCCATCGATTTGATAATTCCTACAATGATCCAACTTTATCTGTTTTCTATTGATCTTAATTCTCTCAGTACATTTTTCAGTTATTTCTGAGAATTCATTCATGAAGTTTTTTGTAGCTGTTTCAATATCCATATCTGAGTAAACTGTTCTTCTTCTTCTCGTTCAAATAATATTTGTGCTGAACTGCTTTGTCTTCATTTTCAGGTTGGGATGGATCTTGTTGATGCAATTTCATACTTTTATGAAACTGTGAATTAGGGTATCAGAGCTTCCATCACCCGTAGAGAACTATAGAAATTCCGACTTCCGAAACAGAAGTGATCATAACGAGATGGATACCTATACCTTAGGCAATCCAGAAATATTATGGTGTTGATTGTAATGGTAAAAATGAAATTGGTTATCCCGACAAGGAAGGAAAAATCCCATAGCTGACGATTGAATAGCCATTTCCAATCTTTTTGCCAATTTTTTTGGAGGCATACATCAGCCTTTTTCCATCATTCTGCGTAAAGTTATCAGACTCATGTCGGTATTCTCACTATCTCATTCATTATTGATGTTATGAGTAGTATTTTTGGCTGATTGACGTGGTGCTAACAGAAAAACAAATTAACATCGCGTTTTCGAAGTAATTCAAAAGTGTATTTCCGAAATGAGTAACCCTGTATATTGTCAACACAATTGCTTCCCAACTATTTTCACAATTCGAAAGGTCACTATGGGTTCTATCCTAAAATCCAAAATAATAAAGTTATGCACCTTTTTTACTTCTCGTCAAGTTTGCCATGCTTCGTTTTTTTTTCAAAATTCCCAGGAATACATTTCCGTAGATGTAAGGTCTGGAAAACCGAAAGGAAAAAGAACTAGTCCTTTGAAAGCAATGAAACAGTTATTCAAAAAGCCCATCAAGTTCCTAGTATTGTTGAAAAAAGCACTCTTTGGTGATCAGTTGAAAAACTCTTCTAATGTGTTCTTAACAAACTCCAGATAATACTTACCTCCTCAAGTACCATTATGGTTCATGAATTTTGACCCAGTAAAACCGCACCATGCGATTATGCTGAAACGTACCATGTTGATTATAGGAAAAAATCGTCATTACTTTTTTAATGACAATTTTTCCTATTATATATTCCCCGAATACTAAAATTAGATTCGTCGCCCCTCAGAGTAAGCCTGAAAAAGTCTGTTTAAGCGTTTTTAGCACTTACAAAAAATCGAAAAAATGTCATTTATTTCTATTGGTCACCAGATGGAAGGCAGTGAGAAGGTCTGTATTTACACGACACAAACCTATTTTTCATTTCAAAATATTCTGAATTGTTTCCAAACACACCACACTGGCTCTCACGCAATCCCTTATGGAATTTTCACGACTTGCTTCAAATAAGCTAGCATATTCATTTCTGTTTTTCGTGCACTAGAAATGTTTTCTTGCAAATGCAAATAAAATTTAAATACCGCTGAAAAATTGTTTTTGACATTAAGGTATGTACTTATCTATCTATACTTTTCATCTATATTAATCTACATTACGTATTTATCTATACACCTATGTATACAGGTAATATTCAATTAGCTGATCATATTTTTGGGAATTACCTATAGTATCCATCAGTATGAACAACTTTTCCCAAGAAAGTAATGGTCGCAAACGGATTTTTTTATAACTAAATTTATTTGGAACTATCTTTGCCCAAAATATTATCAGCTAATCAAATGTTACACTGTATATTAATAATTAATGAAATAAAAACACTTTCAGATAATTATGTTATTTATTGCAAAAATCTAAATTATATGACAGTAATTTTTCGTACAACTAAAACAAAAACAACTTCTAACTTGTAATTGACGGTAGAATGAATAATGATTTTCCAAGTTTTTATTCAGTCTTTTATTCAGCAATAAAAGTCATGGTGTTCATTTTTCGCGGCGAAAACAACTGAACTCGTTTGATCACTGCACCCACGCGATTCGCTCGGTACATTTCGTCGGTCGCCGTTGCGCGTGGCTTCATTAAGAACATTCCTATGAGTTTGTTTCAGTCGCTAGACGCTTCGCCGTTCGCACCGGGCGAATATTCGCATCGGCGAGTGTCCCGTGGCCAGGCTGTAGGTGCATTTGCGGCGTCGAGGCCAAAAGGAGAAAGAGAGCGAAGGAGACAGAAGTGGCAGCAACTATAACAGCCTGGCCACGGGACACTGCATGAATCTGTACGGCGCGAGCCACGAAGTCGAGCGGTGGTCGCGGCAAATAGTGCGGTGATCAAGCGAGTTTAGTTGTTTTCGCCGCGAAAAATGAACAACGAGACTTTGATTTCTGAATAGGATAAAATTCTATTTGCATTAACTTTTCTTCTCCAATTCTGGTTGAATATTCATAAGAATATAATCGAAAGTTTCAATACTAATTTTGGTGTACTCAAAAAATGTTTCTGGATATAATCTGTATTTCTCGTACTTCTTTTGGAATTCTCCATCTATACCCCGACTCTTATTCAAATCATGTACTCCACAATCTCTTCCAAATATTAGGTCTTGAACCAAAAACCTATTACTTTCCAAGCAATATCGAGATAATTTCGATAAAGACATTTCGCTGTCTGACTATTGGTCGCGACGGCGAACGTGACTGCCTGTGGCCTGCAAACGGTGTCGCGCAAATGCCTCGCTACCCGCTTCGTCGTTCGCACCACCGATCCTCGTGACCAAGCCGTTATTACGCCTTGGCCTTTGTAACATCACGAGGTGATATGCTTGGTCCAGGCTCATTCGAAGCGGTATATTGGGGTGGACATTTCTGTTCATCCCCAGCCACCGCCTTAGACTGAGATGAGCACTTCTGTCCACCCTCTGGATTGGTTTTTGTTTTTGTTGTTTCGGTTTTTGTGTTTGTTTCATTCATGTGTGTTCCCACGAGTAGCAAGGGAAGAGTTGGTCACCTCCGGCAGAGCCCCGCATTACCAGAGGTAGGCTGATTACAATGAGGTTTCGCCCAGTTCCCCAAAGGGGATCGTTCGTAACCTCGTATCACCCTGCGGCCATTCAGCTGTCGGCACGATTCCTTTCACCTTAGCTTGGGTAGGCTGGTCTACGGTGGCATGTTTTGCAAAGGCTTTTGGGTACTTTAAGTTCCCCTCACCCTACTTATTTCTGCCACTGACCAGGAGTCCGGCGACCCCGTCCGTAAGGCTACATTAGCTACCCGGACAGGGCCTCCAGCCCCCAGGCCGTTCTCCTACTCGCCATCTTGGGACGCGCCCGCGATATCTAGCCCATCTCACGCGATATATACTGCATGTACAGCGACTTCATTTAAGTGTTCTGCACATACCCCAACTTATTAGTTATGGAGTTGGTATACAAGTTGACATTTTGAAAAGGCTTTTGGTGACTTCCGAAGTTCACCAAGGTTCGCACATCGGCAGCTGCTTCTTTCAATTATGATCAATGGCATCAAGCAAGGCTTCAAAGTCACCTCCATAGTACTTTATGTCGACGATCTCAAAATCTTTGGTTTAATTCACACCATCGCTGACTGAGCAAATTTGATTTGAATATCAATAAGTGTTTTTCTAGATACTGTTTTCGACACCTTGAGAATATGTCAGTTATATCACTCGTGAAAAAGTGGAGATGTTATTAACTTTGTGAAATATAGTTGCAATTCGTGAGAACTTTCTACATTTGACGTTGTCAGTGAATTTTGAATATTTCACACCCATCTTATTTGAATCCTATCGGCACATTCTGAAGACGATGTCATTCAATAATAGCAGGGATCTGACATGAGAACGCTGAAATGATATTTTTCTTTCTTACATACCGGAATGAAAAATACCTAATATATTAGCTGAAATTTAAAAATATTTTGAATTACTAGAGTGAATCATCTAATCGACGACGATAGCGATGAAAAATTGTACGCAATGATCGGAGGTTTGTGTCGAGATAAGGAAAACTGCTCTTGAATTGAAATTATAGATTACAAGTTTATTTTCTAACGCAACGTCGTTATAATCATTCAATTTGATTCATATTGATTTGTTTTTCAATTCAGTCATAGATGTGACGATGCCGTTAAACTGTTTTGGAAAATTCAAAATTGAAAACTGTGCTGAAAAATCCGATAAGTGTGCCCCGCCTAGAAAAAAATTTGTAGGGAGTATTTTTGGCCTGCACATTTCCCTGGCTAATGTGATAAACTTATTTATAAGTGCTGTCGGTGAGTTATTTTATTTCTCTCTTGACCTGTGAAGTTGAAAAAAATGAACCCTCATTAGTACTAGGATGTTCACTGTCTTTCAACTGTATCACCATATTCATCAAACTTTCCTCTTTCTGTTTCATACATTACTTATATGTCACACAGGTTGCCACAGCTGATGACGTGATTTTTTAATTGAAAACAAAATCTGTTTTCAAAACATAAATAAGTGTTTCCTACACAAGAGCATCCTCACAAAAATATTTAAGTTTTCTTGTATAACGTCGTACAGATATATTTTTAAAAGTGAAGAGATTGTTCGTAGTTACAACTGTTTATATTTTGATCTCATTGACGTACATAATCAGGAACATAAATAGTTATACATGACAGTGTGACTGTGATATTATCATACTAGTGATAGATATCACCCAACACAAAATCTGCAGAAAATAACAGAATAAACATCTTCCAACATCCCGCTTCTGGAATTGAAACTGTAATATCATAACATTTATTGTAATACAAGAGAATCATGAGACTAGTAGTTCGCTGAGGGATTATTATTATTTAAAATATGAAATGAAATACGAATACTTACATTGACTGGGCTATCATTGCATCAAAATGGGATGGATGCGAAATGAAGGCAGGAGTTGATTATAGTTGACGTTAACCATCTTGATTTTATTCAGGTTGAAGCCTGGCCTCCTTCCCCTTTCAACTGAAGTTTGTTAGAGAGACAAACGGATCACAACTGATGTTTGATGGTGGCATGAAAGTCCTTAGACATCCATACCGCCCTTCGCGTTTTACCCCTACCTGGCTGGGGTGAGATAGATGAAGATATTATTCATCTGTTAACGGAGGACATAGGGGCCTCATACGACAGAGTGTCGGGGCCTTCTATATCGGGAGGGGTCGTCTACAGCGTAATCTATAGCTTCCCTGACTAATTATAGTTGAACAACTAACGTGAAAATTTCAGAAAAACTCCAGAATATTTGGGAGTGCCACATAGTGGGCGACATCTAGGTTTTACAATTCGAACATCATATTCAAAGAAAACATTATTTATTGCCAAGGGCAATGATAGTTACAATGGTTCAAATAATAGGTGTAACCATCTATTTGTGAGTATGCCTATATTTATGCCATCTCAGCACCAAATTTGATCCGCACTATCATGTACCATCTCAGCACATCTAAGCTGAAAAGGTTTGAAAAAGGTTCTAAATTGTTTATTGAAGTAACAACACAATATCAATTTATTTTATATTCTTTTGAAGTATAGCAAAAAAACTACGATAACAAGACTTCATAAAATAACAATTGTCCTCAAATTACAAACGATGGAGTTGATTGTAGCTGAAATTAGATGTTTGTAGTTACCATTAAACACGTCAAAAATGAATGGAATAAAATCGAGTATTTTTTAACTGAACTAACCTTACATAACCAGATGTCTGCGAATAACCCACAAACCACAGCGGTCCTCGAATCCAGCATAACCCATATCATCGTTCAAATTCAGCCTCATTTATGTACCAAAGTCATGGAAAATTGGACGTTTCGAATGCACTTTACCCATAGAAGCAGTGGCGGAAATTTGAACGATTATATATTTCACACGTAATGGCATCAATAGGTTGAAATTTCAAGATAGGCAGCGATTAATGAAAGACCCTATAGAACAAGTGTTCAATCAAAGAGGGGAAAAATGTTATTGGTGGAAATAATAAATTTCGAAATCGCAAAGTTCAGAAGTGCGTTCCTGTTTAATGGGTTTGAGTGGTAGCAGAATGCAACAGTGTTGCCAATGTGCGGGTAATTACCCAATTTGTATGTAACCTGTGTAAAACCCAACCAACTAATAACCCCCGTCACAAAATTATTTCAATTATTTTTTTTTGCATAACCAAGTTGGAATGGATTAGTTTGTTACAGATTTTAAAAGCCCTGAAATTCTTACAGAAATCATTCGAAACCCAAAGAAGAACTGTTTAAAAACAAGTTCTCCATTTTGCATGTAAATATACGAAGTATATAAAAAAATTTGATGAGATGTGTTAACTTCTCAATGAATTCCATTCTTTGAATCAGATGGTTATGACTCCTTTTATAATGAAGGAAAAATCAATCAAAACGATGGTACCACCTTATATATAAAAAAAAAATATTCTGGTGATGCAAAGATTTCTATCCAAAATCTGAGAATAATAAGAATAATAAAATTACTAGTGAAAATAAACGGTAAAAATATTATTTTGAACGCTATTTATTTCCCCCCATCCCTTTCATCAGAAGAATTCAATATTCATTTACAGGATTATTTAATCAAAACACAGGCTGATGGGGGGAATATACAATTTATTGTTGGAGACATCAACATTGATATTTAATCAGATGAAGATCATTGAAATAACTATTTAGACATTTTGAGTGAACATGGATTCACGTCACTGATTAACACTTACACTAGGGTACAAAAAACATCAAAAACTTGCTTAGATCATATCTTTTACAAAACATCTCATTATAATGACACCAAATCCTTTGTTGTTGAAAATGATATATCAGATCATTTTCCAGTTATCGCCACTATTGATTTAGATGGTTCAGAATGTGCTGAAGAACCTAAAAAACGACAAACAGTTAAAAAATTTAATGAAAATATATTTCTTGATCTTATCAAAAATATATCTTGGAAATCATTTCATGAAATAGATGATATAGAAGTATCTACTCTCGACTTTACAAATAAAATAAGTAATGCAGTCAACCTTGCTACCCCTGNGGGTGGGGTGGATTATTCAAGAATCACTTGAAAACACTCGAAACTACAAAAAAATTATTTTAAAATTGATAATCAATAAAAATGGAACTTACCCAAGTCATTTACTGTACGAAGAATCTGGAATTTTTTCCGTGAGAAAGCTTTATATATATAAGGTAATAATTCTCCAGCATAAACTGAAAAGTAATTTAGAAAATATTTCAAACTCAAAATTTGGAATCTAATGATATTTCTCTTTTCAGTAATCACACTCATAATCCTCACGGAATATGGAATCATCCCAGGAAAAAAAGTAGGTTTCTACTGCGGTGATCCATTGTTTTCTCACAAATATACTGGAGATACCGTAACTCTAGAAATATTGGGTATAACGGCAGTTCTTTTGCCGGTTATAATGATCCTGATCACAGAAACGTTGATCCATCAGTCATTCAAAAGAATCAACATCTTCACGGCATATTTGCTCCTTAGAGACTGTTTGGTTGGAACCGTCGCCGTTCTGTTCCTTACGTCTATGGCAAAAGTGCTCCTAGGAGAACACAGACCGCATTTTTTCTACGTTTGTGAACCAGATACAGCAAGGAACTGCACTGAGGGAACTTTTGTGAAAAGTTTCACATGCACAAGTACCAAACATAGTTTTAATGAAATCGCAGATTCTTCCTTATCATTTCCTTCAGGACATGCGTCGATTTCTTGGTTCATAGGAATGTTCACGTCGGTAAGTTAAAAGGTACGTTGAGAAATGTAAAGCTCGATTCTTGATTTGAAAAAAAAGTACATGGGTAGAATAGCATATATTTAATGAAAACAACTGACAATTTTCAAAAATTATATTGAAGAAGAAAGTAATACAAATCATGAAATTATGAAACATTAAAAATTTATTGGCGCTACGAGACGACTTCATTAATTCCAGTGGCGTATTTGCTTTTTCAGCTGCAGGAAAACCCAAAAAAACCTGCAGCACCACATCATCTGAAGATCTTAATTTGCCAATGTCCTCTCTTTCGTAAACCCAAATGTAGGATGTCTCCAGAGGCTCCAATAAATTCAAGACATCGCCAGAATACTTAGTGACACGACTATCGTCAAATTAGAACCAGTCTGTTTGGTCTTTGACCAATGCGTAATAATGGTCAGAATCAACGCCAGAATAACATTGAACAATGACAGCATGGAGATTATAATAGTGATCTGCTTGATTGAAGTGTTCATCTATTTCGAATCTTCGTAAGAGTTTGATGCTTCGTCAAAGGTTGAGTCATGTTTGAAGATCATCAGTGTTATTATTAGATTGACTGTTGCCTCAGGTATACTTGTTTTCTTATAATAGTTATAATAGGGGAGCCCCAGCGGGGATTTAATAAAGCGCAGCAGATTAATATACAGGGGGATACCTTGTACCGGGTTAAGTACCTCTACCAAATATTAGCCCCATATATAAGGCCGCCTGTGAGGGATAAAGAATCAGATTAGTAAAAAAAATTGATCATCAGAAATTCTCGAGCGCGTCAGATTAAGGCAGGGTGAGTTAATTATCTGTTACAAAGTGTATATTCCAGTGATCTGATAATTTGAGAGTGACGTAAAGAAAGGGTAGGGCAGCAAAGTTGTAAAAAAATAACGTCGTTTCGACATTCTCGAGCGTAGCTAATTTTTTTTATTTTGAAGGAAATAATTCAAGGATAACGAAAAATATATAATCTGACGATTTCCGCAAGCAGAAATAACAAAAATTCATCGATGAAGTTCAATGCGTGCAGCTGTGTGATACCTATATTTTCCTCTCTGAGTTTCTATTTCTCTATTCATGATTAATTCACAACACAACAAAGTTTTTGTTTCGGGGTTGAAATTAGATGATTTTAATGTATTTCCACATGTTAAAACCGAAAGTGACCATAAAAATTATATATTAGCTCTTGTTTTCAAGATATAGTATCATTATATTATATATATGTATATTGAGTTTTCAACAAATGAAATATTTCATCACCAACAGTTGGTACACATGTTTGTTTACATAACACCCCTCTCATCAGCTGTTCTTAAGTAGTAAACATAACCTATGTGAGTTTGTCAATTGTACGCACGTGGTTGCTATTGAAATTATCGTGTGAAGTTGATTTTTAAATTAATTTAAGTGCTGATCTGAAATGCCTCGAAAGTGTGT